GGTCAGTAAAAAAGACAAAAAGGAAAAAAAATAGTTATTCATTTAATGAAAATGATCATTAAAGTCTTCAAAGTCAAATACAGAAAGTGATATAGTTGTAGAAAAAATCTTAGCTCTTTAATAGACAGGACTTGATTTTCTTAAATAATCAAAGACCTAATAAAGACAACACGAAGCACAGGAAATTATCTTGATGAAACACAGAATCTTTGTTTCTCAGGCCAATTACCTACAAGGTAAAGAAAAACCCTGTTAAAAGCACAACAAATTCTAGGAAAACCTTAACACAGGGAACCAAATTCTAGTTTAGCATCATTGTAGTTTTGATATCAGTACTCAATTTTTAGTAAAACTTATAAATAGATCCCTTCAAATGTCAGCCAGCTTGATCACACACAAAATTTCTTTCACAAAATTCACCTTCCACAAACCTACAACTTTCTTATAGCCCTTCATTTTTTCCCCCTATACTTTGCCTTTTCTCATTTTTGAACAACCAGTCGTTCCACGTTAGGACAAAATTACCCTTTTTTCCTTTAGCAAAACACATCTGCCACACCTGATAGCTTTACTTACCAGAAACACGTCTTTCTTTCCTCACATACAGAGCTTTATCCCTTGCTAATTTCTAGATTTATTATATTAATTTCAAGTTTCTGAAAATGGATTTATAAAACTATTACAAGTTTATTTAAAAACTATTATGCCATTGACCCTCACCTAATTTACTTGTTCTTAACAATTACACTTGAATTGTTCATAAAACTAAGCTAGCCATTTCAGGAAATACCACCCTATAATATGAATATTGGTATACTGATTACTTTGAGTTGAAAGCATTTGAAAAACAACAAAATACAAAAGCTTTCTGAGTTCCCCCCTCTGCGTAAAGAAGGATCCTACAAAAGGAACTCGATTGTTGTCAATCTTCTGAAGAGAGGAGGCCTGAAGTCCACCACAGACAGACAGACAGACCCCATCACAAGCCATCATCTATTCTTCCAAGGGTTCATTTATCTTTCACCAAAACCATCTCCTCTAAGGACATTTTCTTCACCCCCTGATCACTTTCCCCATCCTAGCAGGGGAGTTAAGGGACCCTTGCTCTTTTCTTGACTGACCTGCCTAATTATTGCCCTAAGCAATTATTAGCAAGGTTGCTCATTGCAATCAGAGTTTAGCCCAAATACCACCACTCTCTGAGGCAAAGAAGGGCATTAGTAGGAAGTCTCCTTAAGAAAAAATAGTCAAAGGTGAGCCTTGTTGTATAGATTTAAGTCTTTGCCTTCTTCATTGAAAAACCTCCAGTGATTTAAAGTGCAAAGAGGGGGAAACCCCCACAAATGGAGACTTCCCCTATAAATGTAAGTTTCTTTTCTTTTTTTTTCTGTTTGGTGGCTGGCTGGTGACAGGGATTGAACCCTGTACCTCAGTATTAGCAACACCATGCTCTAACCAACTGAGCTAACTAGCCAGCCCAAGTTTCTTTTTTTGAAAAAATTTCTTAAAATAACTTGAAATAATAAATTCAGAATAGCCAGAAGAGGATAGAAAGTTAGAAAAAAGGGGCAAAGTTGTAAGTCAATGTAAAAATTTTTTCTCATCAGTTAGTCACTTAAGTTTTACACCTGTCTTTTGTAAAGAGTTTTTTTAAAAGAGGCAATAAAAACATTTTTTAAAAAAATCTTTTTAGAGGCTCTGCATATTAATAAGCATCCCTGGGTGGGCCTAATTTGAGAACACTCATTTTTAAATGCATTTCTTAAAGTGTTATATTATCCATATAGAATATTCTTTGGCCATTACAATTCTAATTATCATTAGTAAGATTTTTGCCATTTTCATAAATATTTGCAGCTTCTGGGCCTAGCATGCATATAGAGGAAGGCATACCTGGAAGGTGGAGTACTCAGTTCTTTAAAAATTAAGGATCTCATGGGCCGGCCCGGTGGCGCACTGCTACAGTGCGCCGCTTGGGAGCAAGGCAGTGCTCCCGCCGAGGGTTCGGATCCCACATACAGACCGGTTCCCGCTCACTGGCTGAGCGAGGTGCGGGAGCAACACCGAGGGTTGCGATCCCGTTGCTGGTCCCGGTCCGGTACGGGCGCAACACTGAGGGTTGCGATCCGTTGCTGGACACGAAAAAAGACAAAAAAAAAAAAAAAATTAAGGATCTCATCTTTACATTGTTTCTTGGAAACACCATTGGGTTGGGTCATATGATGTTGTCACAGTGCACCTGGTGGCATGAACATTTTCTTGAGAATAGCAGGTACTACCCCATTCTATGTCCAGCTTATCCTCTCGTGGTAGTTTTATTTCTTGGTCATGGGTCACTCTAATAGCTCTTAAGTGCCCAAACCGTGCCCACCCGTCGCATTGTGGCTTTAGCTCTAAGATCCCCTTGACCAACTTAACCAATGATTTTCCAGTCAGACATCTGAGCCCTTCATACCAGACCCAGCCCTGTTTCTGCTGTGACTTACACTCTTGCCAGTGACTCGTCAGCCACCACAAATCCCCTAAGGTTATAAGCTCTGTCACAGCACAGACTAACCCTTGGTACCCATCCCAAGGTTATGCACTTTCTCACATCACTAACTAACCCTGGATTCAAAAGCCAAAAAGGATGAGGGCTTACTGCAAACAGAGCAGAGTCCAACCCAAGAAAAACTCACCCACATCTTTCATGGCTCTGTGAGAAAGATGGGGGACCTCCAAAGGGGTCAGTGGTGCTTTTCCTACATCCCTCAAGGGGTCTTGGGAGTCATCAGCAATGTCCTTTGGGCCCCCATGTTCAGGTGCCAACACTATCAAAAGACAAAATTGCAACAGATTTAGTTTAAAGATCTTAATTACATTTTGTAAGGAAAATTGAAATAGCAATGGTCAGGATCCCTCAGATGTTCAGAATCTTGCCAAGCCTGTTTAACATAAATATGCACATATGCACCCTGGTGTCCCTTAGTTAGTGTCTGATTCACACCCAGGTGTCCTGGGTTATTGGACTTAAGTATAAAGGACAAACGAGTCTGATCCACTGTGCTCTGGGGATGCCCCGGGAGGCCACCAGTGTGGCTGCTGCTAACTTCCTGAGCTTGCATCTGAATGAAACATTAATTTTTACCTAGGGCTCCCAGGATCTTTTTTCCTGTCACCTAGCTCATGGACCTGCATGTGAGGGGTTAGCGATCCACCCTGCACAACGGGTTCGAAGGGTCTGAGCTCTAGCCTGACACATTTTATGCACAATTCTAGAATTAGGCAGCCCTCAGAACCAGAGCAGGTTCAAAGAGCACCAGGACTGCAACGTGGTCACACATTTATGGACAGAAAATGGAAGTGACCTACAGAGACACCTTCATTGGTTCCATCTCAGTGTTTTGCCATCTTTGAGTCAGCGGCCGCCTGCATGGGCTGAAGCTCAGCTGCCTGATTGACTGACCCAGCACGTGTCACAGGAGCCTTCTCCTAGGTGAGGCTTTGGTTAGTCTAGCAGCAAGCCGGGCTGTGGTTCATCAGGTAAGGACTCACAGATGGAGGCATCCTCGGGCTTAAACTTAACAGTATCCTGGAGGGAGGGAACACCACGGGCAAGTGACCCTCTAAGAAGAGTCAGGACGTGGTGACAGGTCGGCGAGGGACGCTCCGAGCCCCAGGGGTCCCACGGCCGGTCTGCTCTCGAGTGCCTGGTGTGGGTTCCTTCTCTTGGCACTCAAGGGGGCCCCGGCGCTGCTGCAGCTCCTGTCGCTGCCCTCTTCCCCGAGAGTCCCCGCTACACCCGGATTCAGAAAGGGGACGAAGCCACTGCCTGTCGAGGTACTGAAGTCACCGCTGCTCTTCCAAAGCTCTTCCCACCCCTGCACGTTCCTGCCTCCCTCAGGGTCTGTGTGGAGGCCCCGGCTGCTCTGGGGTGGGGTCCGGCAGGGGACATTGTCAGGGTTGGAGTGACGGCAGATCAGGGTTGAGAGTTGAAAGCCTGAGTGGGGTGGGGGCGGGTGGCGGCAATAGGGTGACAGCCACAGTGCTGGTGACCTGGTTGGGGTTCAGTGAGAGACAGTGGGCAGCCCGTGGGTGGGGGTGGGCCACGTGGGTGGGGAGTGGTTCCCTGTCTTCCTGAAGCCTGGGGCACCTCTGTGGCAGCTGCGTGGCCGCGGGGACCTGGAGGCCGAGGTGGAGGACGTGCAGGCGGAGGAGGTGCCCAACCTGTTCACGTGCCAGCCCCTGTGCTGGCAGCTCGTCTCCATCGTTGTGCTCATGTCGGGGCAGCCGCTGTCTGGGATCAACGCGGTGGCAGGGCAGGGGCTCTGTCCCCTCCAGCCTTCCTGATCGATGGAGGCCGTGTCGGTTTAGCCAAACATGCATGGAAGCATCAGGCAGAGCGTTTGCACTGATACCGCGTGCTGAGCCCAGTTCTGCGGGGACAGGAGCTGCAGACCCCACTCAGGCTGCTTCGTTTGCACGTAGCAAGACACCCCTAGAAACAGCTTGAGCAAAACCAGACGCAGTTTACAGAAACAGACGGCTCCACCAATGAGGGCCAGCAGGGCGGCAGGGCCCCAGGAACAGCCCGAAGCGGTGACAGTGTCAGGGAGCAGCCTCGGAAGTTCCTTCTGTCTCCCAACTCTACCTCTCCCCACCGGCTGCTTTATTTTTCTCTTGCTGCAGGACAGTTTTCTTGCTTCTGTCCCCTAGAGAGAGTGTCCCCTGCGGTAGCACTTTCCCCTCTGCAGAGCCCAGGGGCATGAACCGGAGTCTACTGGACCCAGTCGCAGGTTCCAGGGGACGGCTGTGAGTTGATCCAGCCTGGACCACAAGGCTGCCTTGGACTCACTCAGTTGTCACGTTCTTTGAAATTTGACTTTCTGTGAATGTGGTATCTATTGATGGAAGGAAGGAAAGGGCAGAGATCTGGAAAAAATGGGGGTCACTCTGGAAATGTTGGAGGTTGGGTGGGTAACCCAGCTGGCACTCAAGGGAAGTGTCAGGAAGAGGTGGCTTTGGATCGCCAAGGATTCATGGATTTTTAACAAGTTATTTGGGGAGGAGTAGACAGCCCAGGTGGGAGCCACCAAATGCAGAGAAGCTCATGTGCTTTTCAGAAGTGCTGTTGTGTCAACATCCTTGGGGCTGGGTCAGAAGACAAGCTGAAGTTGGTGTTGGCTTGGCCCAAAATAAGAGACAAGAAGTCATTCTGTGGAGCCTGAGCTCATGGAATAACCGAGAGAGAGAGAGAGAGAGAGAGAGAGAGAGCGCTCTCAGAAGCCCTGCGGTCCAGCTCCCATACTGCAGGTGCAGAACCTGAGGCTCAGAGAGGTGCAGAGCCGGGCTCCACCCTGTTGTCCTGGCCATAGCTCTCATTCCCACTGCCCGCTGCCTCTTTCCTGTCCAAGGGACCTCAGCCCAGGCTTTCAGGACTCTTGGTTGCTTGAGTTGAGAAGCTTAAGCCAGTGTTCTGGTCTTTGGGTCTGTCCACAACCCTGTGTCTTCGTTTTAGATCAACTACTACGCAGACACCATCTACACGTCCGCTGGCGTGGAGGCCACTGGCTCCCAGTATGTAACGGTGGGAGCTGGCGTGGTCAACATAGTGATGACCGTCATCTCGGTGAGTGAGCTGGAAGCATCCTTTTTGCTGGAGGGTCTCGGAGCAGATGCCCTAGGCAAACAGGAGCCCCACAGAGTCAGCTGGGAGCTGATGGCCCTGGCCCTGGGGTCATGGACTTTGGGATGTGCACCATACTTCCTACTTGTGTGACCTTGACCAGGCTACTCAAAATGCCTTCAAATCCAAGTTTCTTCCTTTGTAAAATGGTTAGGGTGATTAATTTTTGTCGGTGCAATACTGTTATTTCAGAACTTAGTATCTAAAATCTGAGCCACTTATATGTTATACAAGTCTTCAAAAAGTTCATAGAAGAATTTGTATTATCTATAATTCAGTTTTTCCATGAATTTTTTGAAGTACTCTCATATACACTGTTATATATGCTGCATTATATATACACAATACATGCATGTACGTATACATAATACATGTGCGTGATGTATATCCTGTGTTAAAAGAGGTGACTCAACAAAGGTGCACTCACTCACAAGGTCAGACCATCGTGATATTCCTTTCCCCAGAACATTTCCAACTTCTGATTATTTTGACTCCCATTTCTTGCATTTTTAAGAAAGTTATGTGTTACTTATTGAACATTTTATTTATTTATTATTTTATTTTATTTATTTATTTTTTTTCCTTTTTGTCTTTTTTTCGTGACCGGCAACGGATCGCAACCCTCAGTGTCGCGCCCGTACCAGACCGGGACCGGCAACGGGATCGCAACCCTCGGTGTTGCGCCTGCACCTCGCTCAGCCAGTGAGCGGCTGGTCTGTATGTGGGATCCGAACCCTCAGCGGGAGCGCCGCTGTGCTTCCCAAGCGGCGCACTGTAGCAGTGCGCCACCGGGCCGGCCCTTATTGAACATTTTAAGGAAAGTTATGTGTTACTTATTTGTATTTTCTCCATAGCTGGCTTAAACCTCAATCAACTCTCAGAGGATTTAGAATGGCAGGAGGGAGAAGTTAAGGAAAACAGCAGGAAGGATGACAGAGTTAAGGGGAAAGGAGGCAGGTCCCCAGGCCCAATCCTTGCCCCCTTGGTCCTGCTGGCTGCCCTTGCGTCTGTCCCCTCCCATCTTTATTCCTCTGGGGCAGGATGCCCAGAACCGTCCTCCTCTGGGATAAATGGTCCTACCTGAGACCTTCTCTCCCATCGTCCTACTTGGAGAAACCCAAGCCGGAAAGATGGGCTTTCTCTCTCTCGCTGGAGGAACAGCATCTAAGCACCGGGCATAGATGATGAAGTTGACCTTCTCTCTCTTTTTTTCTTCAGTATTGAGATTGTCATTTTGCTCCCGTCTGGCCCTCACTGAATAACCCTGATCGCAGGGTTGTTGAGAGGACCAGAAGTAACTGGGGTCAAGTGACTGGGCCGGGCACCGAGCTGGCCGGTAGGGCTGGAGTGGAAAAGGACATGGGATCGGAAGTTGAAGGAAGGAAGGAATGCTAGTCAGAAGGAGCACGGCTCAAACTTGGACTATGCAAGAAGGAGCTGGCTGGGGGGGTGCATGTCCATACATGGAAGGGGGGGTGTGAATGGGAGATGTGAGGCCAGATTCCAAATGGCCTCGATGTCAGTTGGAGCACAGGGAACGGGAGGGGGCTATCTTTAAATGCAGGCTTTATTATTATTTGGGAATGGTGAGCCCAGAAGATCAGGAGAAAACTCCTATTAAAAAATTGTTAGTCACAGTTCCCAAGAGGGGGAGGCACACCATGCCATGGGGGCCACGCGGGGAAGCACCAGGGTTGGTCAGGAGGCACAGGGGTCAAGGGGCAGGTGTGAGCAAGAGCCTTTACTGTGGTTTCCATAGAAGGGAACGGGGGAGGCGGGGAGAGCAGGCTTAAGATTGGCTGGTTTCAGTCATGTCAGCAGGCTCCGGGGCACAGGGGCTGTCCCTGGCTGTCTGGTACCTGGGGTGAGTAGGGCAGGTGTACAGTGGCCCAGAGTGTGAGGGTCCCATAGAGGAGGTGTGTAGGCTGTGAGCCTGGTCGGTTTGCATATACTTGGCGCAGTCCAGCAGCGCGGCGAGGTGTTTGCTGTTTCTAGGAATCGGGTAACGGTGGGAGGGGAAGTCCCTCCGGGCTCAGCAAGGCCCTAAGAGTTCAAAGCTACAAGGGAAAAAACTAGAAAATGTGGTTATTACGATGGGGAGGGTGTACAGAAAGCTGAGACCCCCTGGATCTGCATTCCACGTACAGGCAGTGGGAGAAAGATGGGGGGGGACACCTGAGCAGGGCGGGGAAGGTGGGACCCACAGCTGGACCCACCTGCACACGGGACTCTGGCCACAGGATCTGTGGTCCCAGGCCAGGCGCCTCAGCCCAGACAGCTCTGCCTCTCCCCACAGAACACGGTCCCTGAGCTGTCTTACCTTGGTGTCATCTGTGTCTTCGCCTACATCGCAGGACATTCCACTGGGCCCGGTGAGTACCTGCCCACCTCCCCACCCCCCACAGTCCTTCCTGAGTCTGACACATAGCAGGTGCTCTATAAATACTTGTTAAATGAATGAATGTCCTTGATTCGCCATGCTCCTGGTGTGACTACTCTCCAACCACCTTATCCCCCGCTCCTACACAGACCCCACTCATCATGAAGGCCCAGCTCATAGCCACCAAGCTTCTTGCCTCTGACCCCACCCGCATTCCCAGCCTACATCTGGGCCTTAGCTGCAAAAAAAACTGCTCTGGCAGCAGAGCCCTGAGTTGGAGGAAACACGCTCAGTCATGCACATGTGGAAAGACCCCACTCATCATGAAGGCCCAGCTCATAGCCACCAAGCTTCTTGCCTCTGACCCCACCTGCATTCCCAGCCTACATCTGGGCCTTAGCTGCAAAAAAAACTGCTCTGGCAGCAGAGCCCTGAGCTGGAGGAAACACGCTCAGTCTTGCACATGTGGAGACCGATGTTTCAGGTATAATCAGATGCCCGATGTACTGTTAAGGAGAGAGGAAGAAAGGGATAAACTGAGCTGGCCCCTAGGGCTTAGCACTCCTGCTGCTCCAGCCCCGCAGGTTCTTAGAAAATGATTCACCTTGGAGGAAGCTGGGGAAAGTGTGTAGGAAGGCAGGGAAGGAAGACCGAAATCTCTACCCTCTAGAGCTCAGTAACCCAGCTCTTGTGCAGTAAGGAGAGGTGGCAACGCTGAGGCAGGAGCAGGTGGAGGAAAGGGCTGCAGGTGGCCAGCATCTTCAGTCCAGTTATCACCAGCTTGGCCTGAAGCTCACTGAATGCAACCTGCTAGTTATGACAAAGGGGGCCAGCATGAGAACTGTTCTAGACAGCAAGAGTCTGTGACCCTCTCCTGCCCTGTCACCTCGCACATTCTGATAAGCCAGCCATTTGGACAGATGCGAGTGACTGGACTTGCGGACGTGCAGGTGGGCGTGAGGTGTGCATACGCCTCTCTCCTGCCCGGCCATCCTACTTCCGGCTGCCATGCAGGTGGGTTAGGGGAAAGGTGGCGAGGAAGGAATGGAGAGAGTAGGATCGCTGGACTCCCTGCCCCCAAACTTCCTGACTGTCACTTACAACTGTTTATGATTTTTGTGTTTCTTGCTCCATTGCCTCATGCTGTTGTGCTTAATCCAAAGCCCACATGGGAAGGGGAAACGCTGAACATCACTATGCTTTCCTCAGCCGTCCCAGCTGTGTTACACACAGACGTGTTACGCACAGACATGTCATCTTATTTTATACATAAAGGTAAAAAAAGGCCCAGCTCAGTTCACTTTTTCCTTGACAGCCATTGCAATTCACGCTGATCCATTCAACAATCATTTGTTAAGTGCCAGCCAGTGTCACAGCCAGGCTAGTGCCCCATTGTTCTTCTCTGGCTCCTAGAGGTGCCCAGACTTGGGTGCAATGCCCAACAAGGCAACGAGCCTTTGCAGAGAGGGAGCCTGGGCCAGCCAGAGCCGCTGGGTGCACCTCGGTTCATGTCCAAATGCTCCACATGCTCGCTTTAGCCTCCCACAGCTCACCCAAGGCTCGATTGTCATTGGTCCACCCACAACCTCCAGCTTCAAGGCTTCACCTGGGCTCACCTCTCAGGCAGCCTCTGAGACTCCAGGCTCCCCTCCCCTGTGTGTCTTCCTGAGAATTGAACCTTGTTCCCTATGCCTGGAGAAAAGACACCTCTGACTGCAAAGACTCTAATAACATTCCCTGCAGGATCTTTGTTTAAAAGAACTGTCCATAAACCAAAATAAATGTATTGATCTGTTCAACATGCATTGATGGAATACCTGCCTAGCCTGTGCTGTGAAGGAGACTCACGGTCGTATCTAGGGTATTTAAGAAATGCCATTTTCGACAGGAAGCTTTCCCGGTGCACCTTAAACATGGAGGCAGGCAGGCCTTGGGAGGAAGCACTGGCGGGTATAGGAAACCTGGGTTCCAGGGTGTGCTGCCCCTCACTGCCAGTGTGTCACCTGGAGCAAGCCGCTGTACTCCTAGGCTTTGGGCTCGAAGAACGTGGTGACCAGATGTGCTGGCGGATGGAAGGTCAGATCGTGGACTGAACTGACATTTGAACCGGGTCCTAAAGGACTGCTCAGCTGGACCTGGTGGAGAGGAGGGAGGCCAGACAGACAAACTTCCCTCGCCGGTGCCCCCTTTGGGAAGCAGAGCCCTGAGGAAGAGGCCCCTCCTCGCTGGGTTGCAGGAGTTTTGCCCTTGAGTCAAGGGTGGCTTCATTCTGGGGCTTCGAATTCCTCTGCATGTCCGTCCTCTGAGACTGTGCATTTTCAGCAGGGCCTTATCACCCGTCAGAGCAGGAAGGGAGTGGGGAGCAGAATCTCACTCGTTTTATGTATAAAGCCACAGATACTCATCCAGGGCAGAAACTGACAGTCTATCAGTAGTAGTAAAATTTCGTGAGAGATGGATTTGAGGAAAAAAATGGCTCTAGATACTTTAGACAAGCTCCTCAAGGGGGAGACAATGAAAAATGCTTGGCAAAGAGACTTCCACCCAAGCAAAGGCGGAGCCCGCAGCCTGCCCTTCCCCAGAGCCACCACGCGAGGGCGACGCTGCCCAAGCCCAGGGGCTCACTGAGCTCTGCGCCCTGTCAATCAACTGCCCCAGAATCTCAAAATGACACCAACATAGAGGAAGGACTTTAAAAAAATTCTCAGCGCCTGTGAGGCACCGTGGACTCACTGCCCGTGCTGCTCAGGAAGTTTTCCATCCATTTCATTTCTACAAACCTTCACCAAGCATTGCTGACCTTGAAGAAACAGCAATAGAAATTACATTCTAGGCTCCCCGCCAGATATTGCAAAGTGGACCTTTTCAGCTTCTGACCTCATGGTACCTAGTTTTGTGGGTAAAGGTGGGGTTCCTTTCTGGTTCCCAGTCCCAGCAGGGGCTGCCCCTACAAGTGGGTGAGGCCTTCGAGGGATCTAGGTTTGAGGCTAGGGCAGGTCCTGTCCCGTCAGCCCTTGGGGACCCTCTGTGCCCTTCTCTGCTCCACTCGTCCTGGGCTCTCTGCCCTCCAGGTCCCGTCCCCTCGGTGGTGAGGACCGAGATCTTCCTGCAGTCCTCCTGGCCGGATGCGTTCATGGTGGACGGGGCAGTGCCCTGGCTCTCCAACTTCATTGTGGGCTTCGTGTTCCTGTCCATCCAGGCGAGCCAGGGCCTCTTTCCGCATCTCTGTTCTTCCCTGGCCCACACCTTGTTCCCTTTCTGGGAAGAACATCAGCTAATTCAACACGGTGTGGGGAGGGGGCTCTCAGGCAGTTTCAAGGCTCCATAAATACCCGTGACGTTGCTGTAGCCAAACTCTAAATACACCAGTTTCCCACTTGCCGAAGGGCCAATTACTTAGGGGCCCTGGTCTGCAAAGCTCAAGGTCACTAGAAGGCAAGCGAGAGCCACCGTTCAGGGAGCAGATCCCCCCGCCGCCTGCTGCCTGTTTCTGAAGATGGGCACCCACTCCATGTTGTCAACAGTTAAGGGCCACCGGCCATAAAGTTCCTATGTAGTCAAAAGACTATGGATTCCTTTTTGATATTAGAGCAGACTCCAGTTACCCAGAGATTTTACTTCTCCAGAGTAAAACAAACTGGCCACCAGGAAAGTTCTTTGTGACTCATGAAAGCCCCAACCACAGTCGTCCCTGCCGTGTCTTTGTCCGTCCCCTCCTGTTTTCTTCATCTCTTATTCTAGGAGGGCATTGGGGCCTGCAGTTTCCTCATCTTTGCTGCAATCTGCCTCCGCACGGCTGTCTACCTCTACACAGTGATTCCTCAGACCAAGGGCAGAACATCTGTGGAGATAAAACACATTTTTGCAAAGAGAAACAAGGTGGAGATTCCAGAGAAGACAGAAGAAAACACCGAGGCTGGGCCTCAGGTACCCTCTATGCCTGCCGAGGAAACTTCCTTTTAATGGCTCTGCTTGTCACCCAGGCGCCCACATTCAAGGCTTCCTTCTGCGAAAAAGGGGCAGGAAGGGTAACGGCTCTGAGGCTTTTGTTTTAATGGCTCTGCTTGTCACCCAGGCGCCCACATTCAAGGCTTCCTTCTGCGAAAAAGGGGAAGGAAGGGTAACGGCTCTGAGGCTTTTGTGCCCCCAGTGGCAACTGGAAGACTTTGGGAAGCTTAGTCTCCGGTTTGCTTGAGAAGTGGTTAGTGTCCAAGGCTAACNCAGGAAGGGTAACGGCTCTGAGGCTTTTGTGAAGACTTTGGGAAGCTTAGTCTCCGGTTTGCTTGAGAAGTGGTTAGTGTCCAAGGCTAACCACTGGGAGAAGTGACACAGGGGGACAGGCAGGCAGGTGAGTATCAGTTGCTAGGACTTGGTTCTCTGATTCTACGTTGGCAGCAAAACTTGAAGGATGTATGGATGCATTTTTTTAAAATAAAACTTTCCGAGTTCAGTGATTGACATGCGGACCTGAATTTTAATCAGTATGTTGGTTAGAGAATCAGAGGAGCTGGATTCCGTTGCCTGCCCAGGGAGGTGGCCGCCTCTCCTCAGTCTGTGGCTGTAGATTGCACAGCTAATCCCTGTCAGTGTTGTCAGCTCTGTGCTGTTGAACAAAGGGGCAGCTGAGCACAGAGTAAGACCTGCTCCCAGTTTTAGAAAAACAGTCCCAGGTAAATTCCCTCCCCAGGCTGGGTCCGTTGATGCCTTCCCAACGCTCCTTTCAGCATTCATATACTACATCCTGGCATGACCACGTCCCTTCTCTGCTGACATCCTTGGGGAGCTATCACCCCAGATGATGAGGCACACCACTGGTCTCCTGTCCCCACCCCCTGCACTTCCACACTTCTGTGACTATCGTCCTGGGGTGTGTTCATATGCCCCTCATCCAAATGGTCAAGACCCTACACGGTCTCAAAACTGAGCCTGAATGTGC